GAATGGAGCCCCCTCCACTAATGCAATATTCCAAAGATCATTGCCACTAAGACTGTCAAGTCAGGCCCCATTGAGACCTACCACCACCAAAGGACATGAATTCCACCCCAACCCCTGCTGCCAAGGAAGAATGTTAAAAAGACCACTATTTGGTGTGGAAAGCAGGTCAGTAGAGACTCCAGGTGTGGCTTGAGGAATCCTCAGTACCAAGCCGCTTTCCACACACACAAATTCAGTCCATCTTCTCCTTCTGGACCAGCTTGGGTGCATCTACAAAATCCTTGCCGTTGTAAAGGATGATAGCAAAAGTTCCAAAGCTTGCACTTCCCCAGAAAAGCACATAGGCCAGTGTCTCAGTCCATGTATCACCTGTTAAGAACCAGATAAACATTTTAGTTCATCATCTTCAGTCACCGGAGAGGATTTTTTTTTAGTACAGAAGAAAAATACTTCAACCCCCCCCTCAGAGATATGTCAAACTAAATTAGAAGCCCTTCATGGGTACCGGGGTCTCTTTTTTTTTCCTGTATTTCCTTATCTATGAAAACTGTGATCGCCACACAGTTCTTAGAATATTTTGAACAGACAGTTACAGAAGTCAGAGTCAAGAATGCTACTGGCACTAACGTTAGAAAATTCAAGGCAAAAGCAGAAACCTTCACAACTCCTAACACAGATTTAAATTAGGAGGACATCCATCAAAACAGAGTTATGCCTATATCTGACTTTTCTGAACTGTCTTTCTGCCCAAAATTCAGTAGGTGTTCTTCTGGGGATTCTTCTTATAATGAAGCTAGATTTGGAGGCAATTAACTGCCCTTTAACTTATTCCCACAAAAGTTTTAATGTTGTTTTATATTTTCCACATTAATGACCTAGGGCTAACCCTCACTCTCCAGAGCCATGTTCAGACACCTTTTAGTATAACTGAGAAACAATTTTATACTGAATGTATTTGGCTAACCATTTTAGAACACCCTCACACAAGCCAGCTATTTTTGTGGAATTAAACTCAATAGCGACTTACCAGCCATTAGCAAACAAATAATGCACATGGAGAAAGCAACCACCATAATAATAGGCAACTGCAGAAAGAGAAAAAGAATAATCACTTGACATAGTAGCACTTATGTTCCTTACTTTCCTTTCAAATGAACTGTACTGCAAAGCTATTTACTTTCTTTGCAATAAAGTTGCTTTATTTACCAGTTCACTTCCTGACAGGTACAACTACAGTTTTGGATAGTTCCAAAAACTCAGAAGAGTATGCTCAACAACCAGATTCAGAATTAAAATACACCTTCCATCTATTAAAAGAGAGGTAGAGGTTTGTGTTTTGTTTAGAAAAAAACATACACCAGCCACTAATTAAACCCATGATGTCCCCAAATACCATTTCACAAAACAGAAGGGAAGAAGAAAAAATTTGCTTCTGTTACAGTCTGTGGTTCTGCATGAAGTATGAGAAGAAGCATCACAAGCTCCTTCTGCAGAAGGAAGCAGTCATTGATGGTGACTAGAAGAACTTCTCCCCTTCCACTTGATGAAGTGGATTTTTACAAAGTGCCAACAGCAGTGTTTCCAATACCTCAAGAACACTCCATTTTCTGTCAAGGGAACAGTCTGGGTTTAGTCCTACAAGCAGGTATCATAGAAACAGCCAGATTATAGGGATGCTTCATTACTAAATAGACAAATTCTACTTAATCCTATTAAGTAAGTGACTAAAAGGTTGCATTTGTTTCTCCAGTCATTAATAAAGTCACCATACTCACAGCTAAGAACTTCCAATCTTTCTTGACATGTAGAGGACTGGCAGGTTCTACTTCATCCACTGAATAATTTCCAAGAAAAAGATCGATTGCGTCCTGGGTGAGAAATGGAGAAAGCAAGAGTTAGAATGCACATGAATGTTTATCAAATACATTTTCTCACAGTTAAAAGCCTAACTTACTTGTCTAAATCCATCAGAAAAGTTGTTTTTGTAGTAACGTATTAATGAGTTCCAGCCATCCATTATTAAGCCCCACTGAGTTCTCTTCCCAGTTCTGCAAGAAGAAGTTTTGAAGAATATTTTAAACGTATTTCTAATTCAGGAAGATAATTTCAGATTTACAGGTCTTTCATTGATCAGATATGTACCATGGTTAATGAATACCTGCATGTAAATATATTTATCTAGTGCTGCCTGTTATTACCACGCATACTTGTAACAATGTTTGAAAGCAAAATTACACTCCTCTCTATCTCACAAAGTAAGTGTGCTTTGAAGAGGCACATTTTCTTGTTTTCATTTCCTGATAGCCTTTTCTCTTTTCATATAAACATTGAAGAATGGTGTAGATTGACATTTTACCAGTTGAACCATTGCAAAATTCATTAACTAAGCCCCAAATTAGTAACCTTCTCAGATATGACTTATAGACAATCCCAAACATGCCCCAAAACCCAGAAGACCTTTACAAGAAAGGATGACTTGCCTTGTGTAATCTGTCTTTAAGGCACCAGTTCCAGCATATTGCTTGGCACAAGCATTAGCATTATCAGCCCATGCTGTGAAAAGGAAAACATTCGGAAATATTAAGTTATGTATTCTATTTAGAAAAAAGGTGATTGTTTGAACTCTATGAACAGCCTACCATTTTTGTAGATTTTCTCAAAGTCTGCTTGCTCTTCAATTCTCTGTCCAACATGCAGAACACCTAGCCTCTAAAACAAAAAGCATATTGAAGCTTATCAGTAGTTTGCTACAAAAATTAGGATTTGGTCTCAGAAAAAAGTATTAATTTAGAGTCTGGCTGATACATTTCAAGTAGCACAGTAACTCAAGTATGCAAGGTCTTACTGAAGTGTTAAAATTGCATTTCTATTCCAAACAGAAAGCCTCCTTCCTCTTCCAGCTTAACCACAGTGAAGTCACAGAATCAAATGTTCAGGGCTGGAAGGGACCTCCAGAGATCCTCAAGTCCAACCCGCTGCCAGAACAGGACCAAAAACTAGGGCAGAACACTCAGAAAGGCATCCAGGCAGGTCTTGGAAGTCTCCAGAGAAGAAGATTCCACAACCTCTCTGGGGAGCCTGTTCCAGTGCTCTGTAACCCTCACAGTAAAGAAACTCTTCCTCACATTGAGGTGGAACTTCCTATGCTCGAGTTTGAATCCATTGCCCTTCAGCCCATCAGAGGGCATAAGTGAAAAGAGGTTGTCCTTGCCTTCTTCATGCCCAGCCCTCATGTATTTATAGAAATTATTAGATCCCCCCTCAGTCTTTTCCTCTCTAGACTGAAATATTTACCTGAAGCTGGGCTTGAAGAGACCTCCGTGCTAACAGGCTCTGGATCACGTTAGTCCGATCAAGGCAGTCCATGCAGTTACTGCGGAATGTTCCTTCCTGCTGAGTCACAATTTTGCCATCGGAATCAACTAGAAAGTAACTTAACATACAGAATCCACTTGAGTACTGTGGGTAACAATCCATATAAACCACACATTTTTCAGAAGTAAATATTTCAGCAATGAAAACACAGCTGGTCTCGAGCGTGCAAAGAGGTCTTAACCATGTCTTTCAACTTGGGTGTCTCCCTGAATTCTTCCCCTCCCACACTGGAAAACAGCATCCATATATGAACACTTGGTAATCTCAGGGCAGTATTCACTCATCATATGGACAGCCAACCAGCCTTATCAAGTTATATGCCACTGAGAAGTGCAGCTTCTGGGAAAAAGATCAG